TGTGTGTGTGTGTGTGTGTGTGTGTGTGTGTGTGTGTGTGTGTGTGTATACTCAAAACTGTGGTGGTTCTTCTCTCTGCTGATACATAGGACTGGAAAGGGAGGAACAGGTGGATAGGGAAATAACTAATTTTTAAACCCAGGAAAATCACCTTATGATTCTAAGTTATCTGTTTTGATCGGCCTGTTTTCCTGAGGAAAGAAGATAAAAGGATAAAAGAAAAACAAAATTATGTTTTCTAGGTGTTTTCTGTTATTTATCCCAAAACACCAGAAGCTAAATTTAAAAGACAACTAATATCTGGCAAGATGTTTCAGCAGGTAAAGGCACCTGCTGCCGAGTATGATGATCTGAGTTCGATTCCTGGGCCCATATGGTAGAAGGGAAGAATGACTCCCACTAATTGTCCTCTGACCCCCACTGCCCACCATGGCACATGCATGTGAACATACAACAAACAAACAAATGCAGGCCAACACACTGAGGCTTGAGGATTTGCATCAATCTATCATCTCACACACTGGAATGGGGGAAACATTACTATTCCACCCAGTCTTTCTGACTTCACCTAGTTCTTATTACCTGTATAACAAGCTGACACATAAAGAAAAAAATTGAACCCTCTGTACTGTTTGTTTCTGAAAACCCCTCCATGAGCTGGGTCAACAATGCTCAAGAAATACCTTCTTAAAGCCCGCATGCCACTAGCTGTGGGCTTCCTTCATGCAGCCCAGCTCTACTGAGCCACTCAGCCTCGAAGGAGCATCCTGCATGAACACGCTGTATCATAATGTTTTCTGCTTGTTCCACTTAATTAATCAAGAAGAACGATTTGCAATTACATGGCCTTCACCCTCATCACCTAACTCTGAACTTTGAACCCTCACTATAGTTGACTCAAAATCAAAGGCAACAACGTGTCTGCAGATAGCCATTGACTCTGATGTTCGTGTCAGCTATCAACTCGACAAAATGCAGAACCACCTGGCAGGTGGCTTCTGGGCATCCTGTAAGGAATTACTTTGATTGTAGTAAGTGAGATGGGAAGATCCACCCACTATGGGTGGTGCCATTCCCAGGCTGGGATCCTGGACGGTATATAGAGAGACAGGGAACTGAGCAGCAAGCATGTGTTCGCCTTTCACTGCTTCCTGATGATGGATGTGACATGATTTGGTGTTTGAGGCTCATGGTACCTTGAATTCCTTGCCTTGACAGCTACCCTTAAACAGTGAGCTGGAATAAACCCTTTCTCCCTTAAGTTACTCTGGTAGGGTACTTGATCACAGCGACAGAAAACAAACTAAGACAGTGAGAGATGCCAAAGTGAATCCACATCTGGATTCCAGATGCTGTTCTTTATCCTCTTTTTAACGGGGTATCAGGGTCTCAGACTGGCCTGGAGCACAGTGCATACATAGCTCAGTCTGATCTCATCTGGGCAGTGATCCTCCTTCCTCATCTGTACTTTCTGTGGTAAGAAACAAATGTTATTCAGAGGACTTCCCAAGTACAGCAAGCAGTTAGTCAGTGGCTCTTTGCTGGAAGCTTTTCCTGTGCTCTGCTCCTTCATTTCCTGACTCTTCTCTGGCCATCATCCACTCAACATGATGCTGCTCAGAGCGACTCAGGGTCAATGGACTGGAGTGTCTGTCACCTGCTCTTTCTACCTCCTCAGGACTATGTCCTTCTTGGCAAGCAATTCCCAGGCATCTACTCTGTGCCAAGCTCTGTGTTGATGGCTGCTTCTTAAAATTTCACTCTGACAATCATACTGCTTCCATGGCTTCAAGTTTCTCCCTAAATGAACCTACTACAGTCTGCCAGATCAGTCTTTCTAGACCTCTGCTTTCAAACAGCACCTCTATCCATCTACTCATGGGATCAAGACTTATTATTAGCTCTTTCCTATCTGCCCTGGTAGAGCGTTTTCCTTCATCCATATGCACTCTGCAACATGCTTCCCAATATGCCATGGACATGTCCATCTTTCAGTTCCCAAATATCACTCCATGGTAATTTAATCAGTTACTTGGGGGCAAATCCCATCACTATTGGGGAAATAGTCTCCAACTCACAGTTTCTACTTAAGGGGAACTGGCCTAAACCCATCTCTAAGAAGAGTCTGGATGTCCCAGGTTAAGGATGAGAAACAGGATTAACCACATCTGTCCAGAGAGGTCCAATTTTCTAAGGAACCCCAGGCCTTTAACGCAAAGCATGGCCAGGAGATGCATTTCTTCGGCATCCTTCTTATACCCTGGGATGAGACATTCACTTAATTCTTCCACTAAGTCATTCAAATCACAGTTTCTGAGCATCACTTATGTCTGAGCCATTGTGAAGAGTGTCTGAGAAACAACAGTGAGAGAGATAGGTCCCTGTCTCTGTGGAGATCTCAGCCTGATAGAAAGAAGACACGAAACATTCAACAAGTATGTGAGGAAAGCAAGTAATGAACTGTGGCTTGTTCATAGGAAGAGAAACACAGTGTCATGGTAGGGGTCGGGAGCACGTGACTAGAGGCAGGAGATGCTGTCAGTCGAAGGCCTCAAAAGAAACATTGGAGTTGAGACCTAAAGGAGAGCAGGACTTGCCTAGCACCCACCAACCCCCTAGTTCTAGCCCCAGCACTGCAGAAAGCTGGGCATGATAATGCATGCCTATAATCTCACTCAGGAGGTGAAAGCAGGAGGATCAGAAGTTCAAAGTTACCCTTAGCCACATGGTGAGTTCAAAACCAGGCTTCTCTCAAAAAAGAAGCCATACTCTAATTCAAAGTAACATTCCAGGCTCTTCAGCAGCAAGTGCATAGGGACACACACACACACACACACACACACACACACACACACCAATGCTTCATTGAGTTTCATGAGCAATTTCTTTATCATCCAGGGATATGGGAGCCCTGCTACCATAACAAAAAGCTTCTTTTCTGAGTATGTAAATACATAAGCTTTTTAGTTTGTGAATCTTTCAAGTGATTGAGCTTTAAATACTGCCTGTGAATTTTTCCAACTTTCTCTGCTGGTAGGATTATTCATTTCCAATTCAAATTTACAGTTTTCTTAGACTCCTTCAATATCACACTATAGTGACGGTATACCATTACTCTGTGACATTCATTACTGTGTGCATTAGAGATAAACCATTGGCTTTTACAGTTGACACTTAATAGTTCTTAATGAAAAACTGGAAGTTACTTTTCCATACCTCGTTGGTTGACTGGATCTTTAGCTACATAGGCAACATAGTCTGTGGTATCCTATTAAAAAGAGAAACAATTGCATTTAAAAGTAATGAACTGTAACCACTGGCAGACAAAACTTCCTTAGGGCCCAGCACTGAGGCAAACACTTAGTCATAGCTTTCTTTAAGGCAGTGTTGCTCACTCTTCCTAATGCTGTGGCCCTTTAATACAGTGCCTCAGGTTGTGGTGACCCCCAACCATAAAATTATTTTCATTGCTGCTTCATAACTGTAATTTTGCTGCTGTTGTGAATCATCCTATCTGTGTTTTTCAATAGTCTTAGGCGACCTCAAAAGGGGTCTGTGATATACTCTGTAGAGTTTAACAATTAAATCTGCATTTTCTGGTCCTCATGGGGAGGGTGTGAAGACTGAAAATTCAGAGGCAGATTGTATCATTAAAAATAAAAGAGAGCACAACTGAGAAGTTCTTTAAAACTGTCTAGGAGCTGCCTCCCCGAGCTGGGTTGAAATGTGCACGAAACTGTACAGCCACGCAGCTAGCGGCAGCTGGGATGTAGCATCCAGACTGACTCATGTGTATCAGAAAATGAGTGGATCAGAGACCTTTCTTTGGTTGCTCGCTTGCATGTGTGTGATGCAAGCTAGCTTCCAGAATAGTACTGCAAAAATACAAATTATTTCATCAATAGAGGGGCAAATGGTTTTCAAGTAGAGAACCTAGGAATAACAAGTTCAAAAAGAGATATGTTGCTGACTTCATGAAAACAAGCAAAAGGGTGCTTGGAATTTCCAGCTTTTATTGAAAACAGTAAGCTGATGAATGGTAAGATCTTAATAATTAAATATGCTTTCATTATCTTAATTCTCGGAGGGAAAAATACCTACAATGCCATTTCGGAGTTTAAAGTAGGTCTCTAGAGGGAACGTACAGTCTACCGGGAGGAAGTAAAAGCCATGTTGGTAATGCCCTTCAGGATCGCCACTTAACAACCACAATGAATCACGCAGGAAGCAGATCTCAGAGTCAGCAGAACTGTCTTAAGTCATTTTTAAAAATAGCACACACCTAAGTAGATGATGTCTCCAGCAAAGAGAAAGATGTGTGGAAGTGGCTTCTAAATCAGTAAGGTCCTATCTGTGCGCTTTGCTCTGTGTTTTCTCAGACTCGGGGTCACTGCCGACCTGAGAAGCCCTGAGACCACTCCCGGCCTGGCTTATCATCTTCCAAATGTTCTCCCACTTTCTAATAGTTTTAAAATTCTATGACTGTAAATATCTGGGAGACAGTGCAGAACAGTTAAATGGAAAGAACAAATGTCAGGAAATAACTGCAACTTTTCAAAAATCTGTGCCATGTTTTCAAAATAGAGAAAATATGGCGGCTGGAGAAGCATTTGCAGGAGCTGCCGGAACAGTTACTAGGCAGACCAAGGCTCTCTGAGAAAGAATAAAAGTGAAGGCAAGCAGACATCACAGGTTAGGAAGAGTGATCCACATTTTTGAAAATTAGAGAAAAATTGGTAGAAAACAGATGACAATGCCGGACCACATGGGGGCTTCTCGCTCAGCCTCACCTTCCCCGTGCCCAGTTAGCTAGTCCACTGAAGTAGGGCACTCGGAGGGCATCCTAAAGCAGATGTGGATATAAATTCTCTCTGTGAACACGTACCCTGCTTGTGCATCATCTCACTTGATTCTTGCATGCCCTGCTTGTGCATCATCTCACTTGATTCTTGCAACACTGAGGTGACAGGCACTATCCCTGCCTTGTAAAGGAAGACTCCAAACCTTAGAAAAGTTAGTACCTCCAATCTACTCGACTCTGATGCTTAACACCAGCCTACACTGCTTTCCTGACAAGAGGGTAAAACATCATTGGCTGAGGTGGGGGGTCCCTAATGCCAACGCTGAGGATAGAGTCAGATCATCATTTAAAACCCAAGCCAGTGGATTTTTCAGAGGCAGAGATGTGCAAGTTTTCCCACAGTGGCTGTGGATGGTTTGATTTTGGCAAGAACAATACTTGAATGAATTTAAAGCTTGGAAGCTATTTGAAGACAGGATGGAAAGCCTTACAGTTCTGAAGAACAATAACAAATCATGTTGGATGTAGAGTAAATGAGGGTCTGTGCACCAGCCCTAACATGACAGCAACCCTGGAACCTTGAACAGGGTCAATTCAGGACAAACACCAATCATTATTTTTTAAAGTACATCGTAAATAGTAAGTCTCTTTAAAAAGTGCCTGAGTCCTGATAAATCTAATGGGCTAGGAGAAGAAGAGAAAGCACCAGTGTTCTACCATCTAGACTCACTGCGCTCTCTCTCTCTCTCTCTCTCTCTCTCTCTCTCTCTCTCCTCTCTCTCTCTCTGATACCCAACTTTTGGTTTCATAGTTGAGGACAAATTACAAAGTTGAATAGAGTATAAATATACCCCTGGGCTCATCGTGAAGCAAAAGCCATCCTGCATGCCCTGTTTGCTAATGGATCAACAATTAATTAACCATGTGTAGAGCCCCTCTCTAAAGACTCTGATCCATAAACAAGGAATGACATCTGAAAAGCAGTCTCGGAGAGAAACCCTGCACAACATGTGGGGAGTGAACACTACACAGCCTCTTGATAGAGAGGATCTGCAAATTCTCCCTCCATAGGCTTTTGCAAATCTGGATGGTCATATAGATCGGACTTAGTGGCCTTGGCTGACAGCAATGATGGTGAATGGGATTCCCATCATGTATTAAATCCAACTGGCAGTTTGCTTAGAATGCTCTTGGGATGATTCTGGAAGAGGAATGGCAATACACATAGGACACACATACCTCTCACAACTTCAATGTTAACAACAAAAAAGTTATAAGACAATAACTAACACCACCGAGTGCTAGCAGTCTTTCTAGTAAAGCCTAAGCTTTTAAAATCCAGACACAGGAAACATTTGCCCAAACAGTTTTGTTTTGTTTTCTACCTGAGACATATAGCGTTTAACAAATTGCAATATCTGGAAAAAGACATGTAACAGTTAACATTCTGTATATGGGAGTTCTTAGGAGTCACAAAAAGAACTTCTATAAATCCGTACTTACAGGGTCCCCTCCAGAGGCAAATGAAATCGATTGCATTTGATGCTTTGCAATAATCTGGAAAACAAAAACAAATTAAACATGTATAATGCTATAATGTATTTGCTCTGTCTCCATTAGCTTAGGGTCGCTTTAGAAACTGCTCTGCCTACATTCTAAACCCTTTTTGTTGTTTTTTAGTATAGGGGTTGAAGTCAAAGTTTTGTGTATCCAAAGCATTTGCTCTACCACTAAACCATGTCCCCAAGCCCTGAATAATCTCTCATTAGCCCATCGGTGTTTTGTGGGGGGAACTGAGATAGACAGTAGGAATGAGAGCAGCTCTCTCTTCCACTAAGGACCACACTGGCCTAAGATTTCTAGGGGCCATCTTCGCTGTTACGCGGGCAAAGCCTGCTGGAATATGAAATTTTCCATATGGAAAAACTAAGAGCTGAGAGTTAAAAACAGAAAAAAAAAATAACCGGTGGGAACATGTGTTTCATCATTTTAAACAGTACTTTCCCCCACTTCCCCTTATATTTTTATTAATTTTTTTCCTATTTATAGACCCACTATATTTACTTTTGTTTTGTTCATTCGCTACATGTATCCAATCAAACTAATATTAAGACTTCTAACATGGGACTGGAAAGGTTGATCAGTGTTTAAGGACCCAGGTTCCACTCGCAGCACCCACACGTTGGTTCACAACCATGTATAACTCTGGTTCCAGAGGATCCATTGCCCTCTTCTGGCATCTTGGAGCACCAAGCATGCACATAGTACACAAACATACAGATAAGCAAAACACCCACACAAATAAAACTGAAATAAATCTAAAAACAATTTTAAAATGTAAAGATTTCTAACATGAAATATAACCTGCCAAATTAATGAGCCCAAAATTATTGTTTTATTTGAGATATTAATTTGTTTGTGTTTGGAAAACCAATACAATGCAGTACAATAGCTGATTTGTAGGGGTTAATTAGTATATAGTTTTAAAGGTTCATCAAAATACCAACTGTGCAACTACGGATGAATCCTGATGGCAGAACGGTGTGGCAGAACCTGCGACCTGGACATATAAGACAGCCAACACATCTGCTCCTAGACAGGCATCCAACGAGAATTGAAGAAAGATGTGCAACAAAATGGATTCTCGGGAAATAAATGACCATTTAAAACAGCCCTGAAGTAGAAGCAGTCCCAACGGTGACTATTATGATACTCCAATAGTAAACTACTTACACTGTAACGACATGTTTGTGAGGTTAGAAAAAAGAGTCAAAGACAAAGAGTAAATTAATGCATCGTTTAATTTATGAACAACAGCAAAGATTTTATTGAAGTATTTGCTTAAAGTCTGTTCAGTGCTTATTCACGAGGCACAAGAAAAGGGAAAGTGATTTTCTGGGGTTCACAAATGGCTCCTTTTTCTTCTGGTGAACATTCAGTTTGTGATAATTAAACCACACACATTACTTGGGCACTTTTCTGTATAAATATTTCAGTAAGAACAAAATCAACGTGCAGAGATCATATATCAGTAATTGTTCATCAGAATAACTGCATTTAATGGGCAACAGAAGATTTCATACAAATATGCCCAAATATAAAACCAGTAAGAATCATGTAACACTTTAGGGAAAATGTCATTGAAGGGTATAAAAAATGACCTTTGGCAGAAGAGAAGGTAAAAATTATGTACCGGTCAGAGGATAGAGGGGAGAGATGTGAAATGCTGTCTTCTGGACATGACAGGGCCATTGCCCCCAGGAATTCACAGCAGCTGTGGTTATCCTCACAATTCCTGCATGAGATCAAGCTAGTCCAAATTCCAGCATTGGTAGGGAAGTGCTCTCAAGGCCAGATGCCTAAGTGAGGAGCCATTAGCGAGGATAGTTTCTGGGAGAAGAGCCATTCTTCTTTGGAGGGATGGTTACTGGTGAGGTGCCCATTCTCCAATGAATGGCCCCACATTCAAGCACAGATGGGCAGCACTAAGTGGGTCATTAAAAAACAAAACAAAAAAGGGGATATTAATTTTGGAGGGGATATGACATGTTGGGAGGCCTGAGGGGAGTTGGTAGGTGGAAATGGGGAATGAATGAGATCATATGTCATTGTATAAATGTATGAAATCCTCAAAGAATAAAATTTAAATCTGCTTAAGTAAAAAGATTTTATATATATATAATATATATATTATATATATATATCACTTTATGGATATGAAGGTGATATTATTATAAAGATGACTATGATTGTCCCCTAAACTAATTTACAAATAGCATGAAATTCTATTAGAAATTCTACCAGTCATTAGTGTTGCTTTTCAAGCTGCTTAAAAAAATGTATATTGAAGAATAACTATGAAAAAACAGCCAGGGTATTTTTTTCAAACAAGTGGACAAGGTTTACCTTGTGAGGTAGCAAGGCATATTACTGAAGTTGGAAAAGCCATCATAATAGTACAAAGAGAGAGAGATAGAGAGGGAGGGAGGGAGAGAGAACTTATCTGATTACATAAAAACTAATTTTTTGAAGTTTTATATAAGACTCCAGCATACAGACTCAAAGAATATATGTGTAAAATGAAAAACAGTATTCATACATTTTCAAAGAATTCCTTCATATCAGCAAAATAAACATAAAGCAAGGCCCGTTAATGCATTAAAAGAAAGCAAACGTTCCCTATACCTATTGAAAGATAACCGTCCTCTAAAAAATTAAAGTCATGGGAGGATTATAAAGATACAATCGGGGCTGGAGAGCTGGCTCAGCAATGAACAGCATCAGCTGCTCACACTAAGGATTAGAGTTCGAGTTCCAGCAGCCACAGGGCCGTGCACAACTGTGACCTCATTTCCAGGAGATCAACCGCCTCTTCTGGTCTCCGCAGGTGATGCACACACATGACACGTGGACATTACACGCAGGCAAAACACCCATACACATAAAAGAGAACAAATGGATAAAACTGAAGTTTAATTTTATTAATTCAATACAACAACAGATGACATGGGTGTGGATATTCTCAAACACTGCAGCTTAAGTCTGTAGGGCAACTGTGGAGCGTTATTACCTGTGTTTATTTAAAATATGCATAGCCTATGATCCACCTTTCCTGGTCCTAGGAAAAGTGGCTTCCGTTTCCCCATTGTGTATGAATGCGCACAAGCGGGAACACACACACACACACACACACACACACACACACACACACACACACACACACACACACGGCCAAATTCGGTTTATTCAGGGAAAAAGAAATGGAAAGCTGAATTTTCGCAGGGCGCAGCTGGCGGGCGAGGTGGCTTTGAAATGATGCTGGGTAGCGGACACCCTGATCACGGGATGCTGGGGAGACAGGGTGGTGGTGCGTGGGGGTGGGGGGGCTGTCTGTCCCTGAAGCCCGGGGCTCTCCGGCTTGCAGCGACGTGAGAACTGCGACAAGGAATTTAGAGCCGGGCTGCAGGGGGGGGAGGTCCAAACCCCGCAATAGCTTCCCGGAGCCCGGTCCAGA